TTTGAAAATAATAAAAGCCACAAATCACATCCATCCCAGGGTAGTCAAGGAAAGGACAAGCACCCCAAGAGAAGAAGGCCTGAGTGTAAAAGGATGTCTTCAGCCTCTTCCTACTCTCACAAAATTAAAACCTGGGTCATCTTCAGAAGCTCAACACAAGAAGTTTCAAGACAATGCAGTTAATGCTACGTAGTCTGCTGCTCTGGAAGGATTGGTGACCACCCACAAAAATGGCTTTAAAACATGCCCAGGTCACATGACACCAGTTAGATTAGAGAAAATGTTTAAAAATGTATCAAATACGTGCTGGAAATGTAAAAAACAACCAGGCACTTATTACCATCTCTGGTGGATCTGTCCTAATGCTAAAAAGTTTTGGTTTAAGATCCACATGTGGCTAGAAAAGACTATTAAAATACAGATAGAATTTAAACCAGAACTCTTTGTTTGTTAGGAATATTAGGTTTGAATTATGGAAAAGAGAATGAGTATTTAATATTGCATGTGTTGACAGCAGCAAGAATAATATTTGCCCAATTTTGGAAAAATGAAAATTTACCATCTGACCAGACTATAATAACAAAAATACTCGAATGTGCAGAAATGGATAGATTGACTTTAGAAATGAAAGAGAAAGAAGACACAATTTACTTTAAAACATGGGGAAAATTTTATCATTGGTTAGAAACACGCTAGAATGAGAAAAGATTATGAAATTTAAAGAGATAATTGACAATTTGTATTTATATTCCATGATTATTTGTATGAACTTGTTCTTTCTTCTTCTTCTTCTTCTTCTTCTATTTCTTCTTCTTCTTCTTCTTCTTCTTCTTCTTCTTCTTCTTCTTCTTCTTCTTCTTCTTCTTCTTCTTCTTCTTCTTCTTCTTCTTCTTCTTCTTCTTCTTCTTCTTCCTCTTTGTATATTTGTGATCTTCCATAATATGGTAAACTATAATTAATATGTAATATATTATTATTTTAAAGTGATTATAATTAATACTAAGCATTGTTAAGTAGTGAAATGAATGAGATTTATTGACTAATTTGTTATTTACATGATTATATAGAAAGTTGTTTAATAATAGAGTAATTATTAAGATTTAATATGTAAACCCGGACTGGTAGACTTGCTGAACTGATGTTATTTTGTGGGATTAATCCCACTTTTGTGTTACCTCTTTCCCCTGGTCTAACCTTTTTGTATGTTTCCCGTTGTCTTATCCTTTTTGACCCTATCCCTTATTACCTTTATAAAACTCAATAAAAATATTTATATATATATATATAAAACATGCCCAGGTTATTTTCACTGGAAATAATTGGAGGTGGGGTGTGGTGAAATATGAGGTTCCTGTGTGGTTTCTTCAAGCAGGAGGGAGATCCAAATATTGGGAGATGCATAGGATGACCTTTAAAGCCACTTCCAACACTATAATTCTAGGATCCTTTGACTTTAAAGCACAATTTTTTAAATTGTCCTTCGCGATTGAGCAAGTAATTCAAGCTCATTTCTGCAAAACCAGCAGATTTGATTCAACACCCTGTTTAGGGAATTTATCACAAAGAAAATCAGACTGTTAAAATGTGGAGTCTTGCCCCCCCAAAAGCATCTATTAACATTTCCCCCCCAAAAATGAAGAAACCTACTTTGAATTAAACAATTTGTTGCCCCGGGTTATTCTAATCTAAACAAATGCATTTGCCTATCCCGGTCCATTCTTATCCTTCTTATCTTAACTCTGAAATGGCCATATGAGAGAGACAGCGAGTAAACTATCACCGAGATACGCCTTTGTCATGGATGCAGAGAGATTCAATCGTGATTATTCTTAGGATTGCCAGAACAGGCTACGTTCAAAAGAGTCAGACTGGATTAATAGCAGACGATTAAAAGCGTATGTAAATAGCAGTTACTGGAAATAGGGAGAATTTCCCTCAAAGGACTATTCAAGATTCGTTTTTGGGTGCAAGCGTTGTTATTTCCTCTGGTTTCCACACTTTTCAGTCTCCGTTATGAACTGTAAATGCTTACCAGAAGAATAATGAAAAATAACACACGGAATGAATGTTCCCACTGCCTTTACTTATTACACCTTTGTGTGTCAAATTAGAGGTGTCTTCTCTTGATTAAGGTTAAGATACAAGAGATGGTGTGCGTTGTGGCAAAGATTTAGAAAAGGCATTATGTCTGAAAAGATTAATGAGCAGGAATTATATTTAATTCTACATATTATCACAGCAGAAAGAATAATTTTGAATGAAGGATTGCCATCAGAAGAAGAAATAATCACGAAAATATTGGCATGTGCAGAGATGGACAGACTAACGATGAGGCTGAAAGGCAAAGAAGATACGGACTATTATAAACTTTGGAATTTATTCTATTCTTGGTTAGAGAAAAGAATGAAGGATTAGGAAGTGAACATGTATTAGCTTAGCAAACACCAGACAACTTGTTTGATTGGAAAAATTAACATATGTTGATGGGGAAAACATTAATAAAAAAAGATTGTTACGATAAGATTTAGAATACCCAGTTGTGATGCCCCCTCAACCACAGAAAACCCCCAAGGCTTTGGCCAGTCCCTCTCCATGGGTCCAGAGCCCCAGCGGTGGAGAAGGGAACCGTCTAGACTACACCAGGGGTGACCCAGCTTTTGGGCCTACCTTCAGCTTGGCTTTGGATCAGTGGGTCTCTCTTGACCCTATTTCACAGGGAGCTATGTGGGGAAGAGGAAAAAGTTAGATGTCTTGAACTCCCAAACTAAAGGTGGGATATGAAAAATAAATACATTTCTGCTTTCAAGGCTTTGGCTTTGGTCTATTACAGTGTTTCTCAACCTTGACCATTTTAAGGCACGTGGACTTCAACTCCCAGAATTCCACAGCCAGCATTGCTGGCTGTGGAATTCTGGGAGTTGAAGTCCACATGCCTTAAAATGGTCAAGGTTGAGAAACACTGGTCTATTATGACAATGGTCGGCAACTGAGAGTCTTGTAAATGGTGGAGCAACGACGACATCTTAAGAGGCATCAAACACACACACCCCAAAATTAATACACCTTTGTTGTAAACGGGTGGAAGTCACTTGAGTTCATCCTTTCTGGATTAAAGCCGATGGTGTAACGTTGCCAACACCGAACGGGCACAGCTGCCTCTCCCCAGTGGCACAACCAGGCCCACAGTTGGTTCAGAAGGACACCATGATCAATGATATCAAAAGCCACCGAAGCTCGTATCCCATTTCAAATTCCAATAGGAAGTGGATTGTCTGAATCCTTCCCAATAGGTTTCATGTCTAGCCTAGTATGCAAATGATATTGACCATAGTCATCCATGTCCTAACTTAGGATTGGAGTAGTGCTTCTCCTGCTTCTCTCAACGGGTTTTTCCCCTTTCTCTGTGTCTCCACAATCTCTTTTAGCTTGTCTATATCTGGTGGGTACCTTCTTTGCCATGATGCCCACCTTGTGCAGCATTTACCCCCTTGAAATTAGATTGGCCCTCCCTTGGATTTCCCATAAGGCCCTCAAGATTGGAATTGCTGCTAGGCCTGGGGCACCCATGGGGCCGGAGACCCTCCCCTTGACTCTTTTGCTGAGGGAGCTATTTAGAAGTTTTGCGTTTTTGCTGTTTATTCCTGGGACTTTTTAAAAATATATTTCTATGAACCTACACTGGCTGATTTATTTATTATCGTGTGCTGCCTAGAGTCCCCTTTGAGGGGAGATGAGCCGCAAAGTAAATTTGATTAACAAGACAATAAATAAATTCTCGGAGAGAGATCTCATGAGCAAGATCCCTACAGCGTCTCCGTGCATTTCGGTCTCGCAAGATTTGGGGCGACAACATCAACAGGAAAACGTGGGATACTGCCGCCATCCCATTCAACCGCACAGTGGCACGCAAGATTCAATCCATTTGGTTTGTAGAGTTTCTGAGATCCACAAATTGTAAGGTCATAGGTTAGTATTTGATCATTCCTTTTTAATAGTCTTACGTAATGAGTGTGTGATGAATCTATCGATATTATTTCTGGCTGCTTAGTCCTGCAGTCAAGGAGCAAGGATGTTGGTGAACCCGCTCAGCTGAGGAATCGGTGAATCTCTGGAGTTTACTTTTTCTTGCCATTGTTATCTATTTTAATCTCAAAATTCTTCCCATTTGTAGGAAAGATGGGTAGATATTGATGAGTTCATATTAAAAATGAACCAATGAGGTGCCCAGGAATCCACACCAATCAAATTCAATAACTGCGTATACTTCGCCCATGGAATAGTTTGGGGACTGGAGTTCTTGCAACTTCAGAGGTTTAATACCTGTCATAAAGATGTTTTAGCACCAATGTTGCTCTTCATATTTGTCAATTCCAAAAATTGCAAAAAAAGGGGGGCCACTCAGGTGTTGTGAGGCATGCATGAATTGCCATCCACCTTCACCCCCCCCCATACCTTTTGCAACTCTGTCTTAAGGGGCAGATGGTCTATTAACTTCAGAATTTTGCATTCTCAATTTGAAAAACTTAAGTTTGTAGACCTAAGACCCCAGAGCCTTTTGCAATCTCACTTTCTCCCACATCTAAATTGTTAAACGCTCTTTTACAAATAAACAGATGTGGCAAGCTCTTTTTTTTTAAAAAAAACCACACCCAACAACTTAATAAGAATTTCACTTGCCTCCAGCTTCCTAATCGATGGAAAACAAGGTGCATTACAATCACACTGGTGCTATCTTCCCCTTTAGTGCCACGTGCCACACCCAGGTTTTCTGATGTGTGCATCCAGACAAAATTCTGGTACATAAGCTCCTCCAGCTTGAATTGCAAATCTGAGATAAACCAGGGCTTTCTTTAAAAAAAAATATTATCAGGACTGATGTTTTAGATGCAAGACTCATCCTTGCATTTATTGCTTCAAGCTCCTGGGGCCAATTTTCTGTTCCTTTATAAATCCTAGTTGTGGAGGGATTTTTCACAGCCTGGTCTTTCCTCTCAAGCTTCAGACTTCTCCACGCCATTGTCACCTTCATCTCCTCCTGCTCCAAGGATTGCACAGCCAAAGGTAAGTCTTGCACCCTAAAAGATGGCTTTAGGAAGGGGTCTTTCGGTATGTTTGGATTAGCTTCTGCATATCATAACCCACCTTGTACTTCTGAATAAGTATTCAAACTCCGATGGGATTCTTTAGCTTGAACCATTTACTTTTCGACAATTGAAATGAATTGGTTTGATGACAGACCCATTGCACAGTTTCCTCGCGAATTAAACCGGCTTGCAATTCAGAAAATAATTAGAGAAATAAGTTCTGTAGATGAGCATCTGTGTTTGTTAGGACTGTGCGAGTAAGGCTGTATAACAGGCTTTAATAATAATAGTAATAATAAAGTTAGAAGGGACCTTGGAGGTCATCTGGTCCAACCCCCTGCTCAGGCAGGAAACTCTATACCATTTCAGGCAAATGGCCGTCCATTCTTAAAAACTTCCAGTGTTGGAGCATTCACCACCTCTGGAGGCAGGTTGTTCCACTGGTTAATTGTTCTAACTGTCAGGAAGTTTCTCCTTAGTTCCAGGTTGCTTCTCTCCTTGATCAGTTTCCATCCGTTGCTTCTTGTCCTGCCCTTCAGGCGCTTCAGAGAATAGCTTGACTCCCTCTTCTTTGGGGCAGCCCCTGAGATACTGGAATGCTGCTATCATGTCCCCCCTCGTCCTTCTCTTCATTAAACTAGACATACCCAATTCCAGCAGCCTTCCCTTATATGTTTTAGCCTCCAGTCCCCTGATCATCTTTGTTGCTCTTCTCTGCACTCTTTCTAGAGTCTCAACATCTTTTTTACATCGTGGTGACCAAAACCGGATGCCGTATTCCAAGTGTGGCCTTACCAAGGCCTTGTAAAGTGGTATTAACACTTCACCTGATGTTGATTCTGTCCCTCTGTTAATGCAGCCTAGCACTGTGTTGGCCTTTTTGGCAGCTGCAGCACACGGCTGGCTCCTATTTAAATGATTGTCCACTAGGACTCCGAAGTCCCTCTCACAGTTACTACTATTGAGCAAGGTACCCCCTATACTATACCTGTACATTTGGTTTTTCTTGCCTAAATGTAGAACCTTACTTTCTTCACCACTGAATTTCATTTTGTTAGATAGTTTTAGTAGCTTGCTTTTCACCACAGGATACCCTGAATCAGAAACTAACCAAATAGCTGTTTGAACTCTATATTAAGCCACAAGAAAGCTAACCAAGGCTAAAACGTAACAATATTTGTAAGTTGCATGAGTGCAACCATAGATATTTAACAGACCTAGTTGTGCACATTATGGGAAGCAAGCTGTAGAACCAGGATGGGTGAGTTGGCACTGGGATCAGGCATCCAGAATGAATGAGAGAGCCAACTCCGTGTGAACATTAAACTTAGAGCTTCTCTGGACCCAGATCCCACAGTTAAATGCTCTTTCTATTAGGACATTTTTTTCCCCGTCATGGAGTTAGTATTTGCTTTTTGGCAACCAAAGCCTCTTAGGCCAAGTCTTAGGGCAGAATTAGGCAACCTTGGCTCTTTTATGACTCGTGGACTTCAACTCCCAGAATTCCTGAGCCAGCATGGCTCAGCATGGCTGGCTCAGGAATTCTGGGAGTTGAAGTCCACGAGTCATAAAAGAGCCAAGGTTGCCTATCCCTGCCCTATATCAGGGCTCCTCAATCTTGGCTAATTTAAGACTTGTGGACTTCAACTCCCAGAATTCCTCAGCCAGCATGGCTCAGCTTGGAAACCTCTCTCTTTCCCCTCAGCATGGCTGGCACAGGAATTCTGGGAGTTGAAGTCCACGAGTCATAAAAGAGCCAAGGTTGCCTACCCCTGTCCTAAGTCCTCCTGTTTTAAGTGGTGAGCCTCCTAGACCAGGGGTAGGCAACCTTGGCTGTTTTATGACAGGTGGACTTCAACTCCCAGAATTCCTGAGCCAGCATCGCTCAGCTTGGAAACTCTCCCTTTCCAAGGTTGCCAACCCGTCTTAGGGTGACAGAGAACAGATCTTTGATTACTGCAATGTGTGTATTTGTTTATGATCCATTCAGTCAGGTCTGACTCTTGGTGATTCGCTGGGCCAGGTCTCTCCACGTCCTCCAATCTTGTACTATTCCTTTGAATTGTTCTATGCTCAGGCTGGTGTCAGTCTTTATCTATGCATTTAGGAAAAATAATGCTGGGGTTCAGGAGAAAGAGTTACAATACAGTGAATTTCCGCTTCATAGAATTGGAGAGTCCCTTGAACCCATGAGTTTCCTGTTCAGGACAGGGATCTCTGATTGTCCAGCCTCTCATAAGTGACTCCAACAAAGGGGAAGCCAACCACCTCTCTGCGTGGAGATGGAGAAGCTACAACCTCATCGGTTAACCGGTCCTTGATTGTGCAGATCTCGCTTTTGGGAAATTTTCTCTTCTATTTAAACAAAATGTAGGTAGCTGCAGAGCTAATTTCTACAAGCAGGACAATTCTTTTCTGAATTCTTTTACTCATTGTTTCTCTCTTGGTTTATCTGATCATAGAAAAGCGTTCTTGACCATTCTCCTTGTAGCTTCTCTTAGGCCAGTGTTTCTCAACCTTGACAATTTTAAGGCATGTGGACTTCAACTCCCAGAATTCCACAGCCAGCAATGCTGGCTGTGGAATTCTGGGAGTTGAAGTCCACATGCCTTAAAATTGTCAAGGTTGAGAAACATTGTCTTAGGCATACAAATACTATCATCTTTCCCCTAAGATATGATACTGTTCAGACATTGCTTCTTAATATCCTAGAATTCTGGAGTTGATAACATTGTGATATTTTATAGGGGCAACAAATCCAGAGGAATCAGGTAGCCGTTTTTCCAACGAACACATTATATTAAAAGCATCAGCTTTGCGGAGCTGCAGGTCACTTCACTACATGCATAGTGAGATAGAGTTGGAAGACACTTAGTCCATATCTACTGTTCTCCTGTCGTCATGTTAAAGCCAATAACAGAATAACAGAGTTGGAAGGGACCTTGGAGGTCATCTAGTCCAACCCCTTGCTCAGGCAGGAAACCCCATACCATTCCAGACAAATGGTTGTCCCATCTCTTCTTGGAAACCTCCAGTATTGGGGTACTCACAACTTCTGGAGGCAGGTTGTTCTACTCATTAGTTGTTCTAACTGTCAGGAAAGAAAATTGGGCATTTTTCTTTCTCCCCACAAGCAGAAAGTGTGAATGTGAACGTCAAGAAAGACATAACAGATATATGTATATATATGTATATATAGGTCTTTGGCTATTCGGGTTTTCTCCTGCGTAAAATTGGAAGTGTCTTGGCGATGTTTCGACGAAGTCCCATTCGTCATCTTCAGGCTGGTGTTTTCGGCTTCGTGCTTCTAGGAGCAAGACACTTCCAATTTTACGCAGGAGAAAACCCAAATAACCAAAGACCTACATACAAACACCCGCAAAAACCTCAGAAAACAAATATGTATATATGTATATATCTCTATATGTATATATAGAGATTAAGAATTATATGTATGATGAGGAACAAATTGCTAGGAATATATACACTGGAATGTTACGTTATGTCCATCTTTGTTTTAACTGTTTTATAAATAAAAAACTTTTTTAAAAAAATACGGTAAGTACTGTTAGAATGTTTAAGATAGTAGAGGAAACAAATCAGTCCAGATTTCTCCCCTTTGATATTTTTATTATATTATCTGAGTTTATCTGTGCCTAGAGTATATATTTCCCTTTCATAAGGCACTTAAATCAGAATGTAATTTTAGTATTATGGATTGAATTTATTATAACATACAACTACCTCGGGCTACATGGGTTACTGTTTGTAACTGTTGCATTTCCCCCCCAACATTATTTGGTGATTTATCTTGTGTTGACTGTGGTTCTTCATATGCCTTTAAGCTGAAATTTCACAGTGATTAATAATAATGTGATAGAATATATTTACAATATATTTAATGCTATCTTGGAAGCTATAATCTCTATACTATTTTGAAATCCTTGGTTTATTCACCTGTATGATACTCTTTTATTGTTTTTTTCATGCTGTTTCTTGTATTTGTTTATGTATTTTCTTTAAAGTGCCCAATAAAACAAACAAACAAACAAAAAAGAAAGACATAACAGAGTAGAAAAGAAAGTAGTGGCGCTATTGGCAGCAGTGGAGGAAGCGGGCTGTTGCTCATTGTTGTGTGAAACCATAAAGGGTCTAAATCGTTGCTTTACCCAGGTCGGTGGGGATTTTGATGGTCATCTCCTTCCAGGCTCAGACCTTCACAAGCCATGTTGTTGCTGTCCCTGCTTTTGATGGTCTCCTGCTTCCTCCTGCCTGCAAAAGCCGAAGTGGTGCAAGACTTCAAGAATTGCCTGGACTTCTTTCTGGATAAGTCGCCACCTGGGGATGCTCTAACGCCGGGCAACCCTGCTAGGATTTGCCAGTTTTACAACAACGCCTACCATTTTGCCACGATGTACGATCGAGAGAAGCGCATCCCCATATACTCTGCTTACAAATGCAAGCCCGGGCAAGGCGGCCGATACCGCGGTTGGATGATTGAGCCTCAGGTAAAGGCATTTTTTTTTCTCCTCGCCCGCCTAGCTCTAGAGATGGCCTGCTTTGTACGGTCTGTTTCTAACCGTTGACCCATTTCTCAAGCTCCGCAGCTTTAAGCTATGTGGATTTCTGGATTCTGGAGATGTCCAGAATTCCCCAACCACGCGGGGTCCTTGGTGCTCTCTAAAACTGGGTGGCCTTCTTAACAGACATTTCATTCTCCAAACTAGAGAACATCCTCAGGGCTCTGATGATGTTGCCTAGTTAGGTCGTGGAGTGTCTGCAAGAAAACCAGCAAGTACAAGAGAGCATCAAGGAGCCCTCATTTCAACCCTCAGCTACAAATATTCTCCAACCCGCATGCAGAGACTTTGGACTTACATTATGGGAAGGCAGAGTCTGACACAGATCAATCATCTATCTAGCTCTTTCTCCCCCTCCCTCTCAGTAGAAGTCATATTGCAGTGGTATCAGCAACCAAGAGTGCTAGTGGGCTTCCCTTTATCAGAAGTGTTCAAGTGAAGACTGGAAGGTGATTTATTTGGACGGTTTTAATTTGGATCCTTGCATTGAAAGAGATTTTGGATTCCACATCCTCAACGTCTATCATTTCTCTGTGCCTAAAATTCCATAATTGTCCCGGTTCTTCCTTCTTCGGTTGATCCTCTAACCTAGGGTTGCCGTCGCATGTTTCCTTTGAGCTAACTAACTCTGCTCCATTTGCTTTCCAGCTTGCGGATCCCACTTTAGGCAAGAGCATGGAGGACGAGCGTCAAGCCAACATTCCTGCTGATATGATAAAAAAGAGCCAGGCCGTTTCTGAAGATTACACCCATTCCTTAAGCATCGAAAAGGGACACTTGAACCCCGTGGGCCATCAACCCAACGAAGAGAGTCGGGCTGCAACTTCCAGCTTGACTAACATCGTGCCCCAGTTCAGCAAACTCAACCAAGATGCCTGGGCGAGCTACGAAAACCGTATCAGGAAAGAAGCTCAGGCCTGCCTTGACATGTACGTCATCGCGGGGGTGGTTCCGGGAAAGGAATATCTCTCGGACCACCGGGTCAATAAGCCTAGCCACATCTGGTCTGCAGCCTGCTGTGTGAAGGATAAAAAGAAGAGGGCCTCATGGGCGGCCATTGCAAAAAACAGTGAGAACGAGGTGAAAGAATGGAGCTTGGATAAACTGCAGAAAATTCTAGCTGATCTCTACGGGCGGGAGAAAATTGATCTGTTCAATAGCTCCTGTTAAGAGATACCCAACTGGACAAGGGCCAGGCACAGGGAGGGCAGGGGCGTCAACAAGGTCAAGATGGTGGCTGTGACCATACCATTTCCCCCCCCACACACACACACACCAAAGTAGTCCAAATGCAGACCTCTTCAATAGCCCACGAGTAAATTTCTGCCCTTAATTAGCCACTGTCCTGTAGGAGAGCAGCAGGCAGAGCTGGGGGTGGTGCAGTTAAGGAAGTCTAGAATTGTTACGTTCCCATAAAATGATCCAGGTCCTAACCCCTCTTCAATTCCCGTTGAACTTAGGGTTGAATTTTAGTTGACTGGATTCTTGTGTGTAGGCTTGAGCAATAAATATTCTGAACTGCAACACAACACATGGTCCTGATTCTTTGCACCTGACACTTTCCTAGTGAGATAGCCATTCCGCTATCTGCCCTCCTGCCTTCATTGGAAGAGCTGAATTAATGCAGAAGAAGTTGCAAAGTGCAAGGCCTACAAATGCCGTTTCCTCTGGCCCCATCCACCAAAGCAGGGCCACCTTATGGACAGAAATTAAGTTGGTAAGATTATGTGCTCCTGGCCACTTTCCTTCGTCAGCTCGCCTGACCAATAACCAGCCAAGACACAGTGAAGGCCTTTGGTTTCGCTTATTGCAATAAGCGGGGAGAGAAAGCTATCAAAGCTTGGATTCTCTCCAACGTTCCAACCCAAAATATTTCCTTCTTTATACAGCCCAGTCCCGGCTGCCACATCCCTCCTCTTTCCCCATTGGCTGAGGTACTACGAGGTTACTACTCTTTCTGACCGCCTCCTACCTATTTCCTGCTACATACTAAATCATACATCACATGTACATTAATAATATAAAATATTAGACACATGCAATTGTTGGTTTTGAGTTCTAGGCCCCTTAGAACAGGGGTGTCATTGAGGGCTGCATCAGCATTGCGGTTGCCCTCAGGGGACCAGGTGGGTGTGGCCAGAGTGGGTGCAGCCTACTGGGTGGGCATGGATGGAGTGGGTGTGACCTACTGAGTGGGCGTGGCCAGCTCTACATCGTTTGCGTCAATGGTGCCTGTGGGGGCCTGGGCAGGAGTGGGACAGATCTGAGGGTCTCTGGCAGAAGGGGGTGGGACCAGGACCACTTCCAGGTGATGATGCATTGCTTCATTTCTCACAAAGGGTGACCCCTCCCCAGCATGCACCCAGGGGCTGGGGCCGACGTGGCAGGGGCTGGTCCCTCGCTGTTTCCAGACGGCCTTGTGGAGCTAAGACTGAATGCGTTTCAGCATAGATGGCCATCACAAAATTGTACATTGGCTCCCGGCCGTCCTGGGCCAGGGCCAAGGCAGCGGGGGCTGTTCCCTCACTGCTTCCAGGATGGTTTCGCGGGCCACATGAAAGCACTTCGCGGGACGCATCCAGTCCCTGGGCCTTGTGTTTGACATGTCTGCCTTAGAACAATAGGTTCTTTCCTCTTTCTCAGTTTAGTTAAGATTTCCTGGCTAGCCATTTCCTCTTAACAGATGTTTTTATAGCTTGCCTTCTTCCTTTCCCACTCTAAGACCCAGCTAATTTTTGCCTACATATTTATCTCACATCCTGCTTTGATGCTATCCTTTCCTGTTTCCCAGCCATTCTAGTTTTGGGTTAAGCTTGTTTATCCAGGAGGTAAGTTTCCACTGCAGCAAATTCCATTTTAAATTTCTCTTTCAATATTAAATTTTGAAGACCTTTCCTTTATCTCTATCAGTAAGGTAGATCCAGTTGGAGGTGGGGATTTGATGCCTCTTAAGATGTCATGGCTGCCCTACCACCTACAAGATCCTTGGTTGCTGACCACCATCGTAGACTGAAGCTTTGGGAAGCAAAACTTACTTATTTTTTATATTCTGCCTTTGGTTTGGGAGGCCAAGACCTCTTGAATTTATGTGCCATGCCACAATGCACAGAGAAAAGCGGAGTTTGTCTTGGAAAGGCCCAACGTTACTTTCCTCACTTGCCCCATCTTCCACTGGGCCAGGGGTAGGCAACCTTGGCTCTTTTATGACTCGTGGACTTCAACTCCCAGAATTCCTGAGCCAGCCACGCTGAGGGGAAAGGGAGAGGTTTCCAAGCTGAGCCTTGCTGGCTCACGAATTCTGGGAGTTGAAGTACACGAGTCTTAAATTAGCTAAGGTTGAGGAGCCCTGATATAGGGCAGGGGTGGGGAATCTTGGCTCTTTTTTGACTGGTGGACTTCAACTCCCAGAATTCCTGAGCCAGCCATGCTGAGGGAAAAGGGAGAGGAGGCTCACCGCTTAGAACAGGAGGATTTAGGACAGGGGTAGGCCACCTTAGCTCTTTTATGACTCGTGGACTTCAACTCCCAGAATTCCTGAGCCAGCCTGGCTCAGCTTGGAAACCTCTCCCTTTCCCCTCAACATGGCTGGTTCAGGAATTCTGGGAGTTGAAGTCCACCAGTCATAAAAGAGCCAAGGTTGCCTACCCCTGCACTGGGCAATACACACAAACACAGCCTGAGAGAGGAGCACAATCCCCACCTACAGAGGCAATGCATATGTACCGAGTCTGATCATAGGCAAAATGTACAGAAAGCAGCGATTAGGACCTCAAAAGAAAGGACAGAAATGCAGACACAAAAAAGCAGATGCAAAATAACCAGTTCATCGCACGGGGGAATATACAGATGTGGCCAGTGCTGTTAAAAGGGCTGGGGAGAATTCCAGACACCATGTTCTGCATGAATTACCTCCCTTGTTTATGCCTTAAGACGTATTAAATTAAACGAGTATTAAATATTCCCAGGAAACCATCTATTTCAGTGGTTCTCAACCTGTGGGTCATGACCCCATTTGGGGTCGAACGACCATTTCACAGGGGTCGCCAAACAATGCAGTCCACCATTTTTTCCCCCCTTTTCCTTAGCTGTGCTACTCCCTTTTATTCTATTGGCTTTTGAAAGCCAATAGAATAGACTCTCTTGAATAGAGTCTAATTCTATTGGCTTTCAAAAGCCAATAGGAATTGTCCAGGCTGTCTCTGCCCTGCTGAGCCCGCCAAAAGCCCCATTCTGCAAATGGTGCTGCGCCAGTTGAGTAGTCCTCGACTTACGACTGGTTGGGGGTCGCGGCATTACAAAGGTTGAGAACCACTGATCTATTTGTATCTGGTTATAATTATTGTCGCAATATATTATCCACTGCCAGCTTGCTCGCCCTGTGGCAGCTTCACCGGAGCCCCTTTTGCCAGGCTTTTTCGGGGTGACCCAGGACGGCCTTCGTGGCTGCTGTAACAATTCTGTGGCACAAGGCCGTGCTATATTTCACCCACCCCTAGTAGTTCCTTACTTTGTATGTTACCACCTCTGACGATCTGGATCTGGACATGAGATTGGACTTTTGAGTGGTACTCGCTAGTATTGATGATGTTACCTAGTCGGGATAATGAAATTCTTGTGGAAAATGAAGGACTCTTACGAATTCCAAAGGGTTTTAGCAGATAGATTTATTGCGCAGGTTCAGAAGCAATAGCCACCAGCAATTCTGAATCCCGAGGGCGGGTTCAGACTTCAGTTTTATACTTTCCTTTTCTCAGGAACAAAGGAATACACATTGTAATACATTAGGTTAGTTTCTCACGGGTATACAATGGAGAGTTTGCTACATACATTGTATCCAAGTGCAATGCGCATTAGGTTAGTCACATACTGCTAACACAGCCCTATTCCAGTAATTATGCAGACACATCATTATTCTAGTGATTGTTCATTATTCCACATTAAAATGTCTGCAAGAAAACTGCTAAATTCAGAGAGCACCAATTTCTCACAGACCACACCACCCCCTCTTCCTTCTCCTCCTCTTCCTCTTCATCCACCACGACAACGATCCTCCACCTTCTCCTTTCAAGATTTATGATGTTACCTGGGTTGAGTAATGAAATCTATGCAAGAAAACTGCTAAGTTCAGAGAGCACCAAGCCCCACCACACTCTACTTCCTCCTCCACCTCCTCCTCCTCCTCCTCCTCATCATCATCATTAGAAAAGCCCTAATGAAAGAGAGCAGAGTGTGGAAACAGAAAGAAACCCCTGTTTTTGTACACCAGTTGTCTCAAGCTTTTTTTTTTTTTTTAACTTCACTTGAAAAGTTGCTGAATGGGCTAGTATAGCTAAGAATTTGCCCCCCCCCAGTAAACCTGCAAAGGTGGGCATTTGTGGGTGTTTCTACAAGCCCCCCTACGCTTTCATTTTCTGTTTTCTGCAGCTTCATGTGCTTTCTCAGAAATGAGCAGAGAGCACCAAGGACTCTGCACTCTACTTCCTCATCATCCTCATCCTCATTATCATCATCATCATTAGAAAAGCCCTAATGAAAGAGAGCAGAGTGTGGAAAGTGAAAGAAACCCCTGTTTTTGTACACCAGTTATCTCAAGCTTTCCCCCCCCCCCATTTTTACTTCACTTTAAAAGTTGCTGAATAGGCTACTATAGCTAAGAATTTGACCCCCCAGTAAACCTGCACTTGTGGGCGTCTGTGGGTGTTTCTACAAGCCCCCCCCACGCTTTCGTTTTCTGTTTTCTGCAGCTTCATGTGATTTCTCAGAAACGAGCAAAGCACCAATCCGGTCCAAGTTGCTGGTTGCCTAACCCTGGAACCGTGCCCTAAGTATCAGAGGTCACATTCAAGCCAGATGCTCCAAGGAAGGGCCATCGTTTTGCAAGCACTTCTGAATACGGTAAGGCAGTTTTGTTCACGTTAAATGAAGTCGTTCGCTGGGGTCTTTGCTCTCTCAGATATCGCCTGCCTTGTCGGTACCAGGGAAATGGGCAGGAAAAGATACGTGCTTAGCATACGCTTCACGGCAGTGTTTGTTTAAGACGTGCGGACTTTGGATTTCTGCTTTGCCAATGAAAACTCTCTTTGTCCTTTTCCAACAAAGAATGTTTTTCCTGCGTCCACTCCGGAAGTTTGGACTGCCTCTGGAGCTGCTGATACTGTTTTGCAGAGGAGTGATTGGATCTGCCATTTGTACAGTAGTGGCCAACATTGTGCAAACCTTTGGGGAAAAGTGTATTTTTGAGATTTGGTGGCTAATAACACCACTATTTTTTGGGGGGGGGGTAGTACCATAAAATTGTATATCAATGGAAAGATAATTTAATCAAGAAGGTAATGCAACCAAGTTTGTTCAATTATCTGTACTGTGTGCTATGAAAAGTGACAGCCAAAGAACCAGAAAAAGGAAGCACAACTTGCTTAGGTTGATCTCAGGGAGATTTCCTTCACCTGATGGTAGCCAATGAGGGTGAGTGTTTAGAGCAGGCATGTCAAACTCACGACGTCACGTGACGTCGCA